TACTTGAGCCTATAAGCACAAGGCCAGCCTGGAAGGCATAGTGAGATCTTTATTTATTTATTTATTTATTTATTTATTTATTTATTTATTTTGGGGGGTCAGCACACAACAAAAATTTACCACCTATTATACCACGGGAATCTTAAGTTTTGCTGTCACAAGACATTAAGGCTCAGACCATATGTCACAAGCCATATGTGAGGCTCATATGGGCTGTACAGAAAAAAACAACACCCACTAAATAGGCACCTATTCACCTATTCAAAGATTATTTCTGAAAAGCTTATATTTCCTAAATGTCATTTTGGGCACAAGGACTATGAGATGAATGGACAGGATCTCCTGTCCCCAACCGGTGCTTAACCTGGAGAGAAGCTAGCAATTCTAATAGATGTGCTGAGCACCATGAAACCCATAAATAGTGATTAATTCTTTCAGATAAGGGAGGATTCAGATGGACTTAGGCTCGATCTGTGTTTCCATTTTCTAGGAGGCCAATGGGAGGGAGAAGGCAGTTTGGCAGCAGAACCACATTAAAAAACAGGGAAGCATCTGAGCAACCCCGTGTAAGCAGCAGCTCAGGAGTGTGGGGCTGTGGGTGCTAAACAGCTGAGGTGGGATGGGCAGGTACTGTGAGGAGCTGTGTGCCCCATGGCAAAGAATTTATGCCATGGACTACATACTCGTCAGATCAGAGGTGAGTTCAGAGAAGAAAGTGCACCAGAGACAGAGGTAAGGAGAGGATATTCACAGAACTGGCAGCATCAGAACACAGTACCACTCATGAAGGTCTAAGTGTAGAAACGGCCCAAGAAGGTAGACTCAGCCAACATCAAAGAGAGAGTGTCCCCATCTTTCGGAGGACCCGAAGCCAGTTCCCAGCACCCATGTAAAGTGACTCACAACTGCCTATAATGGAGTGATTTTTTTATTTCTTTTAGAAAAAGTGAGTCAGGAACAACATGCAAACGACGAAAAGAAACAGAACAGAGAACAGAGCAGCTTGTCTACTAGGAGCGAATGTATAGCAAGTTCCATGGCAACAACAGCTTCAACCACAATTCCACACAATACAGTGTCCTGACACGGTGCAGCTTAGACAATGTCCAGTGAATACTCCTGGCCTTGTAATAGACAGCTGCTATTGCAGGAGGAGATATAAAAGTTTGATACACAACTGTTGGGATACAAGAGACACAAAAAGCCGACCTTAGCACTGAGCATAAGCATAATGAGGCACAAAGTAGTTATAGGAACAGAGAGACGGGCAACTGGCTTCAATGTTGAACAAACCATTTACCTCTCAGTCTTGGGCTCCTTACATACTAAATGATAGGGGATACATGAAGCTCAGAACTTCTAAGGAATAAACACTACAATTTTCTGAACATGAGCATTAACACAAAGTTCAACTCTTCAAATCTACAATTCTAACAGTTAAGGACAGTGCCCGGGTGTGAAGCCCACCCCACATCCCCATCACTGGCTCACCTCTGCTGTGGCCTCAGGAACTCTGCACACAGTTTCCATGCCTCCGAGCTTCCAGTGCCCGTCTTCACTCACAAAAATAGAAGACAAGCAGACATTGTTGTGTGTCAGATGTCCCTGGAAGAGACAAACAGAAAAGGAAGAAGACTGACACCCCAAAACCTGAAGGTTTTAAACAATTAAATACTAGTCACCGCACACAGAGCGATGAGGTCTTCGGCACCTGCAGCATAACCAAGGGACCTGTGCTTAAATGAACAAACCAGATGCAGCTAAGAAAGGAAAGGCTCCGCCTAGCGCCCCCACTTGGCAGGAAGGTCGTGAAGACACCAAATGCACAAACAGCATCACTCCCATTTCTTGGGAATTAGGAGCCACACACGTCCTTAAACATCCACAAGTCTCCATGGCCTGTATCAGCTGCTGCAGTACCCTAAACAAAAGGTACAACGGCTCCCGCAGGTTATGTCCCTTTCCGTCTAAAGCCTCTCTTGCCTGTAGGCTGTCATGAGCCCAGACCACTCCACCTGAAAGCCTGGCAGTCAGTAGGCATTAACAAAATCCCACCAGAAGAGGGGGAAATGGAGTGTCAAGAACCACCACCCATCACAGAAGAATCTAGTTTAAAACTATAAAAAAAACAGTATACTCAAATATGAGGAAGGAGAAAAGGAGACCAGAGTTTGAGTAGTTAAATTTCTTTTTCAAGCCAGGAATCATCCATTCCAGGACACAAAAAGTACACTAAATATTCTACTCTCAAGATCCAATGTGTATACATTTTATACAGAAGACTCTGATATATAGTGAAGAAGGTTTTTAACTGTATGATATGCTTCCATTGGGAAAAATAGAATAAACATACAGTATTTGCTTGACATTCACACAAAATTTCTCTGGAATAATGCACTGAGCACCACAATTGCCTCTGGAAGATCAGATCCAAGGGTGGGACAGAGGGCTAGCATGCCCTCTAATCCTGCTGCTTTTCTCTTATAGATAGATTTCATCAACACAAAAGACATTCCTCCCCAATGAAGCATTAACAGTTCTTGCTGCCATATGAACCTCAACAGACTCTGAAATTTAAGAAATTATAAATTGCACATGACTTCTGGAAAGCCTGTCTTCCACGACAGAAACAGCTTTAAGATGCTGAGAAGAGCCTGGGGCCAGCATGTGTAGCCTGCGCTGCTGCCGCCCCATCTCTGCAGACTGCTGAAGACATGCTTCAGAATGTACACACCATACAGCGACAGCTCAGAACAGTGACAACAAACAGACCAGAAGTGAGCACAGAATCGACATCTATCCCAGAAATTACCAGAGCCAAGCTTACTAGCCATACCATGGGGCTGTCTCCTCACTGGATTCACCCACCCATTTCTTTTGAAGAAATGGGTATTTCTTTCTTTGAAATCCAGAGTGGAGCAGAGCTTCTAAAAACAAAGAGGAGCTTTGGTCTGCAGCAACGGCTGGCTGCCCTTTCTCTTAGCCAGTACTGACTGGCTATGTTCAGATAAAGACTTAAACAACGGGTAGACAGCAGACGGAAAGCAAACTGTAAATAACTGCTCAGGGACAGACAACTGGCTGCTGAGTCCACAAACCATCTGCAGGGTCCCTTGTTCCTTCCACTCTGGCTCAGTTTCTCTCTGTATCGGTCTCTAAGTACCACCGCCCAGAGGGTCACTTCAGTCCCCATCAGTCAGTCCACTTACTCTGTCATGAAGGAAGATAAGAGCCAGCAATACGTCATAGATTCCAGCACAGACTTCTGCAGGAGACAGGGTTTCCAATGCCACTTCCAGAGGCTGCACTCTCTCAGTGACGAGATGAATGCCATCTGCTTCCACAGTACAAGATAAAAATCTTAGCAAGCAAGGGTGACGAAGGGTCTTTAAGTGCTTTAAAATACAAACAGAGAGTTGATGAAGTTAATGACTCAAACCAGATTAATTACAGTTTCATACGCATTGTAATAAAAGGCATGCTTTTTATTGAAAGTCCCTTTAACTTCCCTATGCTCTCCCAGATTTCAAGGACAAAAAAAAAAAAAAAAAAAGAATCTATAACCTCTTCTAACTTTATCCAACTTACCAATGCTTAAATAATTCTACAGAGACGTCCTATTTCCTCATAAGCCCCCTGAGCTCTCACGCCTTCCAACTATCATTGCCATGCAATTGGAATGAAATGCCAGAAAGAGCCAAGAGCTCTGCAAAGTGCCCAGATTATGGAGCAGAGTCAAGCAGCCGTGAAAACGAAGCTCACCTCTCCTGTAATGAATCACACAGTAACAGCAGACCTCAGGCACGGAGCAGGGTAGCAAGGCTACCAAACTGCACCAAAAAATGTCTAAGGCTAGATTCAGAAAGGAACCTAGGGAGGGCAGAGTATGAGAACACTGTCCTCGGGGGTGGGGAGCTGGCGAAGGAGAGGCCCAATTTTCTGCACAGCTCTAGACCCTCAGACTCTGGAATCAGCAGGCAAGGGAAGGCCTAGCCAGGGAGAAGGAATGGGAATGTGAACTGCTATTCAGGGTAACCTGAGGTCGGAACCTCAGGAAGGTTAAATTGGTGGCAGAATCAATAATCTCTGCCACGCAACATTAAAATATTCAAAAGGGAATTCAAATATATACTCAGCCCAAGAATATGATCCATTTTTAATGGGAAATTATTAGAAATTAAAAACTCAAGGTATGAATTCAATAACCATATGAATATGGCATAGTATAGAGTGAGGAAATCTGAAGCTATTAACCAATCCAAGGAATAAAAATTTGCTTGTTTTAATGATTAGCACCAGAGAAACCTGTGTGACAATAACAGAAGGTCTAATACAGGTAATGAGGTTCCCAAAAAAGGGGAGAACAGGGGCATAAAAAAGCATAATTACTAAAAATATAAACTGGGCCTAAATCTCCAATACACAAATTTAAGAACTTCATTTAGCAGAGAATGGGATAAACATTTTAGGTTTAAAGGACATATGGCTTCTGGAGCCAAATTTTAAAAGCCCCTTTAAAATCATAAAACATTCTTAGCTCATCCTGGCCTGAACATTTGCTGAGCCCGACACTAGGATATATTCTTATTAAACATTTCATTTTATGTTCTTAACTTTTTACCTGTTTATCAAATATCTAATCCTTTTAAAATATTTTTAACATTTTAAAACTTTTGTTATCTGAAGTGATTGCCACTTTTTTTTAGTTACATATCTCACTATATATGTTATATGTACACCTACATTTAACACATATAAAATACTAGAAAACAGTCATGTAGGCCCAGCGGCACATGTTTTTAATCAGCATGCAGGAGGCTGAGATAGATGGATCTTTGTGAGTTTGAGGTCGCCTGGTCTACATAGTGAATCCCAGGACAGCCAGGTTACACACTGAACACCAAAAGATAAGAATGAGTTTACAAAAATTATTTCCACTTTCCCCCTCAAACTACAATTAATTCATGAAGAAGCCTCTGGCTTCATTTTTAGAAACCCCTAATATAAAATATCCCCCTTCCCTATCAGTTTCCTTAGCAGACAGACAATATACATGAACGACGACAAGTATAGTCCACGTTGTTTGAATACGGAGGTTAAAATTATAGTGGCTCTTCCCCTTTTGGTTTTAAAAAATGAACTGAGATTGGAACTAGCACTCAGAGGCAGATGGGAGGAAAGCAACTGGAAACTCGAGCCCCAAATAAGGGGTTAACTGCTTGCTAACAAAGTGCTATAACAGCCATGACCCGGCTCTGTTTAGCCTGATTAGCTCTGGATTGTGGGTTACTAAGGACAAGCTTCATAAGATGCAAATTTCAGCTTGACTCTACCGGCTGAGCAGAGGGGCAGTGCACGGTGGTGCACTATGGAGGAGCAGAGGGGCAGTGCACGGTGGTGCACTATGGAGGAGCAGAGGGGCAGTGCACGGTGGTGCACTATGGAGGAGCAGAGGGGCAGTGCACGGTGGTGCACTATGGAGGGGCAGAGGGGCAGTGCACGGTGGTGCACTAT